CTGGTGGGCTGCAGCACTCCGCAGTCCCACGGAGAGCAGGGCCAGCTACAGACAAGGGCCGTGGCAGAAGCAGCCAGTTTGTGTTCCTCCTGCCAGACACCTGCACAGAAACCAAAAGGAAGGAGGAGATGGCGAACCCCGAGGAAAGGAGCCATTACGGAGTCCAGGCCGGCATCGCCGGCGCACAGTCCGTCCCCATCCACCGCTCGGGCAATACGGACACGTCCACGCCTGTTTTTTTCCCAGAGCTCTGCTGCGGGGAAGCCGGTCACCTCCCCCACCTCGCTGAAGGGCTGCACGCCCTGTGTGAACACCAGTTTGTATCTCAGTCGGATGGGATCCTATGGGAAAAAAGGAACAGAGAGAGGGGCATGTCATGGCTGCAGATTTCTGGGCTCCTTCTGCCTCACCACTCGCAGCCTGGCTGCAGCGAACCACCCTCTGAAAGGGGAGAGCAACGCTTCAGCCGTGCAGAAGCTCTGCGGGGAACAAGACCTGGCCCTTCGTGAGATACGTAAGGAGTGACTGGGAGACCTGTGCCAGCCACCCAGGGCATGCTTGGCAATCCAGGCCTGGCCAGCCTTCGCGGAGGCAGAGGATTCTTTACACCAATCGTTGGTCTCGTAATTATTCGTCAATGGAACAGAACTGCCACCCATCGCTTGTGCCTTGGGTGGCCTCGTGTTCCACCAGCTGCAAACATCTGCACAGTGTCTACCAGGAGCCATCTCTGGAGCTCTATACATAAATAGAGCTCCCAAATTTAAATAGATTCTTTTCTTTTTTTCAGGTAGACTGAAGCAGAACAGTGCAGGCCCCTGCAGCAAGTGCCCATTCGTTCCTTCAGGTTATAGCTCTGGAAAGCTGTTTCGGTGGGAAAAACGTCTTCCCAGCACAGCCCAGACTGCTCCCTCTCTGCCCTGCATCTCCCTGTCTTCCATACCAGTATCCCACCCACGACAGTGACATTCAGCAGACTCGGTGACACACACACCTTGTGCGGATTGGCGAGCAGCAGGACCTGGGACACCACGGCGGGCGGGAGAAGAGGGCTGAAGGCAGGAAGCTCAGAACCAGATGCTGGCTGTAACTTTATTTTCATGGTCTGAAAGAGAAAGCAAAGCCAATGCCTTTTGATCCACGCTGAAAAGCACTGGGAATATTACCAAGGTTAAAGATATGTGACCTGGGTTTGCTGGGATAGAATCGCAGAACGGATTTTCTGTTCAGAGAAGCTGTTTCTGAAGTAAGCTGCATTCTTAAAAAGACTGTGCACCCCGTTCAGTGGGAACAGACTTGATGAGACACTTAGTTTTAGTTTGTAGCCAGCCATAGTATGCAGGTGTCTGTAGTGCTCAAGGACTTTCCAGCTTGGTTTTTTGCTAACGAGACAGACATCCAGGAACCTGGGGGGAATGCAGCCAGGGAGACTGATGCTTACATTGGGAAATGAGTGTTCCATACCATGGCTCACCATAAAGTGGAAAGTTTGTTGGGGATGGGCTCTCTTTGACCCCTCTTGTCTCTCTCGTTCTCTGTCCCTCAATGGCCACTGTCCCTGGAGGGTCTCGCTCGTCATTCTGCTCCTGAGCCCTGCTCGCTCGCTCTTCTGGGACTTTCCTGCTCTGGGATCGCTGGCTGGGGATGGGCTGGACACTGGCCAAGGGCTGATGAGCTGGTGCACTGTACATCACTTGTCTGTATATGTTATTATCATTATAATTTTCATTTTTATTTTATTTTATTCCATTATTAAATGGTCCTTATCTCAACCCATGGGTCTTCTTTCCTTTTAGAATCATAGAATGGTCAGGGCTGGAAGGGACCTTCAAAGGTCATCTAGTCCAACCCCCCTGCAAGGAACAGGGATATCTCCAACTAGATCAGGTTGCTCAGGGCCTCGTCCAACCTGGCCTTGAACGTCTCCAGGGATGGAGACGATTCCCCGAATTTTCCCGATTCCCCTTCTGGCGTGGGGCAGGGTCACAGGGTAGGACAACAGCTGGCTATTGTTTAGCTGTGGAGACGAGGTAAGTGTAGACAATAGTCAGCCAGGTTTTGTCACTGAATGAAAAGCACACCTTTCCACAGCCTGCACCTAAAGGCAGATATTCCTAACTGACAATTCTGCGTGGCACATAGGCAGAACGAGTGCCTCACCCAGGAGGCTGACGCAGCGCGTCTGGAGCCCTGCCCGGCTGTCTCAAGGCCAGGGATGTACTCTCTGAGACAGGCACTGGGGCCACAGGCACCACCGTACAACAGGTTCCCCGGTCCGAGAAGGCGAGCCGTGCAATTCCCAGTGAGCACGAAACGGCCAGCCTTCTCCTCGGGACACTTCTGGGTCGCCCCGCACTCTCTGCTACCCGTCACAGGCTTCTCACCTTTGGGACTGCTGCCTGGAACACTATGTCCTTAATTGCTTGAGCTGATGTGCTCAGCATGGAAAGAACCATCACCAGCACGTCTGGTCGGCCAGGAGCCGGGTCTCTGGAGAAGTGGAGCATAGCCTTGAATCCATTCCTGTCGTACACAGTAAGAGGACAGATACTGCCTGCCAGAGACAAAAGGAGCATCAGAAACAAAGCATGGATTCTCCTCCCTCCTGAGGGCAGAACAGCGAAGACAGGATAAGGAAGGGCGAAAAGGAAACACGCGTACCAACTCTTACTTCCTCCAGCAAACTCACAGACCAAGCAGCGTACAGCACCTGCCCGTGATTTACGTTTCAGCTCTACTGTAGAGAAAGGAATCTGAACGTCTAACTGGAGGTTTAGCAGCTCAGATTTCAACCGCTCTGCAGTCCTTTAAGAGGAGGTGCCCTGCTCCCAGACCCTGGGGTGCCCCGCACCCAGGTAGTACCCCATCAGGTGGTGGCAGGGCTGGGCCATGCAGCGTGGCATCGAAAAGCAGAGGTGGAAAGAACAGCTCTGCTTTAGGAAGTGGGACAACTCCCACCCACAGGTACCTTTTAAGCCTTTGGAGAACTGCTTGAAGCTTGACTAAAGGTGCTAAGGGCAAATAGCTTAGAGCACATCACGGAGGTTAGCCAGGGCAGGACACTCCTGACTACTGAGTAGGGAGGACAGGGACATTTCCGTGGTATGATCCCTAGCACTTGCTCGAATTCTCAGATACATTAAGCCCTTCATAGAACAGTCCTTACTCCAGCCAACCCACACAGCGTGACGCTACTTCGGCTTGCTCCCCTGCGTAAGTCACAGAAGAGCCCCAGTAAGCCTCTAGTAAGCAGAGCTGGGGCACAGAAATCATTGCACTTACTCGGTGTAATTGAAATTAAAGGGACAAAAAGGTTTTCTAGAGAAGCATCATGGGAAGCTGGATGCAAAGCAGCAGCAGGCTTCAGCTCGTAGCCTAGGCTGGAGAGTGAGGTATCTGCCACTGAGCTATCTGGAAGGTCTGGAAAGGGCAATTTCATTGGTGACAAATCCCTGGAAAGGAAAGCACGTAGAAAGCTTATATTAACTGGGGAGACTTCATGTACATACCACCTTCTGCCATGTCCACTTTGTGTTCCCAGTCCCTCATCTGCCTCTGTTTTACACGGAAGAAGGTGCTGTTTCAGCACTCGCTAAGGCAGACTTTGACTTCTGCTACTAACGCCAAACTGTTCCAGGGCTTGGGCAGCCCACTCTCCCCATGCCCAGGCTCCCTGGAGCTCCAGTCAGATGAAAATGAGTTCTAGCTCAAAGACAATGCAAGAAGCTGGCAATCTCTGGTAGAATTTCTTGGCCTGTATTAACGGCAGACTGGATAAGTGTGTCGTAACGGTCACCTGCTCTGAAGATCTGTGGATGATTAATTTGGTTCACAAACTGTTGGGCTTCCACTGAATGCCTGGAAACGACTTTGTCACAGCCTGAAGAAAGCTGGGGAAAGTATTTTTTGAGTCACAGGTTATTACTGAAAGACCTGACTGTAGGTTTTTGTTCCTTTAGCTCAAGATCACCTTGTTACTAAGCCATGGGATCTGTCTCCCCAAGTTTCTGACCTTCGGAAGGTCCTAGTGTGCAATTACACAAAGTGCAATTACCAGGAGCTACCTGCTGCTCAGGAGCCAACGTGTGGATGGATAGCTCACCAGCAACAACCAGTTGTAGCTGAAAGCTTTTCCTAAACCTCACTGCTGTAAACCAGTATTCCTCATCTCCAAAGCCAGACTGCATTATGCAGAGTTTGCTTACAAAGACAGTGTCTTGGTCCCAGACGGTGGAGAGAGCTGATCAACCAGGCCCTGAAATCCATTCTTCTCCGAAGAGCCGTCTCCCCAGCGCTCCTGCAGCCCCAGCCCTTGGACAGCACCTACGATTTCACCGTATCCGTTGTGCACAGCAGTCTGAAAAATAAGACACTTCTGGTTCATGCTATAGAAGACCAGCAAAAATCAGGCCCGTTACACTGAAAAGAACCTCGTTTTTAATAACAGTTCTACTCTAAGTAGTAAATATGAGCAATCTGGTTGCAAACTACAGCTGGGAAATTGTCGTGGTTTAACCCGGCCGGCAACTCAACGCCCCGCAGCCACTCGCTCACCCCTCCCCAGCCCCAGGGAATGGGCAAGAGGATTAAAGGGGAAAAGGGAAGGAGATCGTAGGTGGAGATAAGAATAATTTAATAATAATATAAAGTTTAAAGTCATAATGATACATTATTATTATATTAATATATATAAATGACAATTGTATATAAAGACAAGCGATGCACAGTGTAATCGCTCACCACCCAGTGCCCAATCCCCATCCCGTCCCAGCAAGAGATCCCGAAACAGGTAAACTTGGCCCTCAATCCTAAATCTAAATTAAAATGACCACGCTCCTCCCCAGCCTGCTGTGCTCCTGCACACCGGCAAAACACGGGAAGCTGGAAGGTCCTGGATGTCTCAGCACCAACCATAAACACCAGTGTGGTCTCAGTATTCCTCTCACAACAAATCCCAGACTAAATCCAAAACACAGAGCTCTTGTAGCTGCTAAAAAGAAAAACTAACTCTGTCCCAGCCGAAACCAGGACAGAAATTCACTGCAGAGCAGGAGGATTCCAGTTTCCCTTCAGAATGGTGTGGCATTAAAAAAGGATGCCTGAGAAAGCTAGGAGGTCAGGAATCCTGTCTGATTTTTGTCCTTTGTACCTTATGGACTGTCATACCTGAGGATCACTCACCTCTGCTAAGCCAAAATCAGGTGGTGGTTTCTGTACAACAGGAGAGTTGCTGAGACCTAAGAAAGATGCCAAAATGCCACCGATCAAGTACAGAAAACAAAGGCTTTCCATAGGTGCTTCCTTTCTTGGCTAACGGCGGTCTGACCGCAGCCCAACGCCATTACAGAAACCACATTCCTGAAAACTTCCCGACCCCGGCTGGAAGGGTCGGCTTGCTCCTAGGGCCGACAGCAAAGTCGGAGCTCTCCCAGTTTATTAAACACACAACCCCGGAACAAGGGCAAGGCTGCGCTGAACGGCGTGTACGAACCCAATGACTCCAGCTCCTCGTCCAGCAGGCAGGCGGAGGTCGTGCTGCCGTGCCGGGAGGCGGTGGTTTCGTTCGCAGACTGGTCTGTAGGAGAGTGGGATGTCGCCTCCAGCTCGGAGAAGTCAATCAGTGTGTAGCTCTTCACGCGCCTTGGGGCTGGCCGGCACGCTTGGGAAACAGCGGAGAGAGTTGGAGAGAGACCCCCTGAAAGGAGCAGCGTGTCGATGGGCACAGGCACACCCCAAAGGACTCAGAGGGGAAGAACTTCAGGGATATTTTCTATTGACCATATGTAAAGCAAATGATGGTTACAGAGTAGTTTTCCTATGGATTTTCTTCACATTTATCCCCTGAGAAGCACTTCCCTTCCAAACTCCACTCACACATGAGCTGCAGGAGCAGAGCTGCCGTGGCACGCTGCAGGATGCTCCTTACCTGGTGCCTCAGTGGAGCTGATGGCTGAACCTCCTCCACCGCCGTGACCGTGGGCGGCCACAGCCTGCCGGCACTGCCCGAGCGCCTGCGAGAGCTGCTCACTGGCCTGCAGAACCTCCGCTGGAAAACCACAGCAGAAACAAAATATTAACGTTCTAGCAGCAGGGTCAGTTCCACGGCACGCTGCCAACCGCTCCTGCGGAAGGCACAGCGCAGCCAGGGACTCGCCTGGAGCAAAGTCTGGTGGGACAAGCCGCGTTAAGCTTTTCGTTCCACATTCTGAAGTGCAGCATTTTGCACACACATCTGCTGACTTCGGGCCTCTCTCTGAGTTATGAAGAACACTTTGAAATGCAATTCTATCTCAAAGCACTTCTAGCTCCTGCCATCTCTTATGCTCTTGTTCTCTGCAAGTTTTCCGTGTACTCGAGCTA